TAAATATTAAAATATCCAGAGATGTACAGAGTGGGCTGGGCGTTCCCCCTTGTATCCTACCCTGCTTGGGATAGGCTGTATATATGATAATATTGCCATGGATATAGACTATATGCCTACAGATCCTGTCTATAAAATCACAAGGCACACACTGGTTTTCTCATAAACGGACATCTGCTAGCTCTATCCTAAAGAGGAAAAAGAGGAGCAAACAAGTTTTAACAGGTGCTTTCTTAAACTACAGAGAATCTGTAAGAATAATTATTATTTGGTGATAAATTATATATTCAACTGGCATATATTCCGGTATTTTGAAATCGCCCGAATGCAGTTTCGCTGAGAGGAAATACCGCGGTATGTTGTGTTACAGTTATACCGCCGAGCCTAAATAGTACTTAGACGCTTTTATTTCATAAACATGAAAATAATGTTTTCCAGTGCAAATGTGTAAGCCAGATGTGTTTCAACCGGCTTGTTTGCCTCCATAGCTCCGCTTTTAAAAACATAATGCACGGCTTGTTGTATAGCCTACTTAATCTTCTGCCGAAACTTTCAGCTATAAGTGGAAATACTGCAAACTTAATTTTACCACTCGAACCATTGCCATCAATTAGAACAAACAGAATGCCAGCGCTTACACCAGTTATTTTCAGTCGGGATCAGGACATACAGGACATCCTGCACGTGGCACTGAGAACAAGCAGCGCCTCAGTCCAAGGAAAAACCCAGCAACAAATCGTACAGTCGGCATTTCCCCAACCCTACCACGGTTAGTATCTTTAAGGAGAGAAAACATTTTTTGTAAACTGAGATGAAACAAGATAGGAAAATAATACAACAAAACTACAACTAAACGAAAACTAAATAGCTTCCTAAACTGACAAATATAAAAAAATAAAAAAGAATGCCTCTAGATCACCGTTAATACAACCTGGAACTGCCATGACCTGCCGCAGGTTCACCTCTTTCCGTTTGGCCAACAGAGGGCGCTGCTGGTCACTCAATCTGTCTGTCTCATCACTCCAAGTGTTTCGCATTATGTGTAAATCGGCCCTCAGTAATCATCCACACCTGTCCCTCGTGTAAGCCCCCTTAAGTGTGTGTATATGTGTGTTTCCCCGTCCTGTGTTCCCTAGTCCTGTCATTGTTACCTGCAATTGTCTGAACTTCCCGTAGGTCTGTGTGAGGACCTGTCAGAGAGTTGCATTCCGTTAATAAAGTCCTCTTCAGGGGTTCCCCTGCAAGAGGCTGTCTTTGGGGTTTCATTACTCCTTCCTGCTACTTTGTGCTTGACAAACTGACAGGACTTTAAGTGCCCTAGCAGCCTTTACCCCCCATGTTCCCTCTGGGGCTCCCTGTTTGGAACAGACCACATCCCCCCGTCCCCCAACTTTGTGGAATTGCAGAGGACCCTCGGTCCGCCCACAACCGCCAAGCCTCCCCAGGCGCGGAGACCAGTCTCCCTGTGCATATTGGCTGTGAATTTCTTCACGCTTCTCAATGCACAATGTGACTTGTTTGCGATCCCAACCATGCTGGCGTTTCCAGCAGCCTTCGCCCTGCTCCACCAGGTGGGGCAGAAGCTGGAATTCCTGCCCCTGATCTCGTGGACAGAATGTCTCACCGGACCCTGTGCCCCCGAAGCCCGTCTTACCGGACCCTGTGCCGGCTGTGTCCTAAGTCCCCATGCCTGTGAGGGCCACTTTTGCCACACCTCGTTCTCTCCTTTGTGTCTCATTCAGAATGAGAACACGGGATAGGGAAGCACATACACGGTACAGACAAAAGTATTGGGACACCCATAGTAATTACAGGAATTGGCCACATAAGCAGGACCCTTTGCTGATAAACAAGTGGATTGGACTGGACACCAATGGATGCCTTTCCAACAAGTTGGTTTTCCACATTTCTGTCCTACAAGAGCTGCCTTGGTCAACAGCAAGTGAACAGATTGTGAGGTGAAACATCTGGGAGCAAGTTAAGCTGCGGAGTGGTAGTGACACAAGCTCACGTAAAGGCACCTGATTACTCAACATTAATGCCTGATTGGCCACAAATCCTACCAGCAATGTTCCAACATCTAATGGAAATCCTTCCTAGAAGATTACAGGTTATTATATTAACAAAGGGCTTAACCAACTTAATATTATTATCCTTTGATTCCGAGTGAGATCTTGGAAAGGCTTTGGACCCAAGAATTTTGTCCATGTAGTATAGTGTACATAAACGCACCTAATAGGGTTTAGTGGAGGGACAGGTATGGGTGATTACTGTGGGCTCTCTCTGCCGGCCAAACAGAACCAGGTCATGACGGTTGGTGTATGGACCCGTCTCCTTTACAGAATACCGCAGCACCAAGGTGGGTTCAGTGGAGCTCCAAGCACCTGGGAAGAGGAGACTCTCAGCAAGATGGTCCAGCTCCTGAAATCAATGATGACCACATCTCTAACCTAACCCTAACCCCACGTAGATCTGCAGGTGGGATTTCTAGCCCCTCCCCAGAGTAATCTCAGCCACGGTTCACCCACTCGTGGCAATGCCTGAGTAGTATATTGATGCTCTGATGCTGTGTTCTATTTTTATAAAAAAAGAGAGGTTCATCGGTAATGCCGGCAAGACCCAGTTTGTGGTCTTACTTCACACTGGGAGGGCCATGCATTGGGATACTACCTTGTGGCACCAGAAGAGTCCAATCCTCATGTCCAAGACACAGGTTCGAGAATTTCCAGAAGGTGACAAGGGCAACTAACTTTGTGAGTTACAGCAGGGATCTGGCTACGCTTTCGAGCTTCTGACCTTGGCGGCTGGCATTTGGTGGAGCGAGCCAGCGCTCCTCACCAGACTGCTGGGGTCGCAACCCAACACTCCAAACTGAACCATTCTACCATTCTGCATTTTTGAATGTTACACAGAGGCAGTTATGTTTGCTGGTAGTGATTACGGTTGGGTCCACATCAGTCTCACTCTCTGCATTAATAGATTGCAGGGCAGCAGGGAATTTTACGGATGTACAGTTAATAAATAGGCCAAACATCCTATTATGATAGGTAGAGTCACCCCTACGGGTACTGGCTGTGCGTTCAGGGAGGGTCTCACACTAGGCAACTCCTACTACCTTACAGGTGGGAGCCAATACACTTGGGGACCATTCAGCTTCTGGCTATTCAGTCTCCTCACGACCCAGTTTATACTGACACCCCTCGTTATGCATCCATGATCCAGTCTTTTCTTGGGCGGGGAGAGTTAGACTCCTGGGGAACCCACTGCCATTTGAAATGCTTGAGTATACCTTGTCGCATTATGTGAGTGTGCAGTGGGTCATTACCTTTGGATTATCAGGCATCCACAAACGTGTCCGGTAAGGAAGGAGCTGCGATCCATCCCGCATATTGGGTGATGGATCTGTTCTGAGGCTTTGCCTCACCACGTAGTAGAATCTACCCTCACCACACTGCTGGACTTGGGTGGATTTCATAACCGAAATGCGCTCCGGCAGGGCAAGACTGCAGCTTCAGTCATAGTGGACCGCTTCTCTAAAATGCGCCCCCGGATTCTGCTACTCAGGCTGCCCACAGCTATTCAGCTGGCGGAATGTGGATTCCTGAGGATATTGTGTCGGACCAGGATCCTCGCATTATCTCCTGTGTTTGATGAGCCTTTTGTGCGCGACTGGGTGTGAGCGTGTGTTTGACTTTGGCATATCATTCCCAGTTTGAGGGTCAAACAGGATGGCTGAACCAGGAGATTGATCACTGCCTGAGACAGAATTGTGCGGCAAACCATTTGGATCGGAACCGGCGTATTTCATGGGCAGAGTATGTCTACAACTCTTTGATATACTGGTCTTCGTATACTCGTTTTATAATAGTGAATATACACAAACTTAGCAACAGTTTAGAGACCCCCCCCCCCCTTTGACTGAGAGACCCACTCCCCCCTGCCTGCTGCTGCCACACCACTGAGAGACCCCCCCCGCTCTGCTCCTCACACTTACAAGATAAGTGACTGCAGATGTGGAGAACTAGTTACAAAACCATATGTATTACTGTCTGGAGAATTACTTGTTTTTACCATACGTCTGCAGACAAAATTCGTTTGCACAATCAAAATATTATGAGTGACTACCACTGTCAAAAGAAACATCTTAGAGTAAAAAGTACAGAATTTCTCACTAAATGTAGTTAGGTAGAAAGTAGCTAATGCTAATACTCGAAGCCATAGCACAAAATAATAGGCAGAGCAACAATTACCCATGAAGTACTACCAATAAAGTACTGCATATCCAAAATTATGAGCAGGCAATGAAATACAAATGTAAAAGCTCAGTTACTTTTTTTTCCCTCAATAAAAAGGCAAAATGGCCACAAATCTCCATTTAGTTTCCACGGATATACATTTCCAGTGTACGTATTTCTTCAGTTGTGTAACCACATACCACTGTCAATAGAAAAAATAATGGCCACTAGAGGGCGATCTTACACCATAATCACTCAAACCTCTGGATGGATTGGGGGGGGGTGGGAGATAACGTTAACAACGCGATCCGATCAGACTAAGCCGGGTAATTTTCAACCACCAATTGTGATCTAATTATAAATGATAATATTACACATTTTATGGAGGCAACACTAAAGCTTTGTGAATATCAGTACGTTAAATTGGTGTCTATAAAGTTGTCTGTGATGTGCATCTCTTATAACACACTGGCATCCCAGCGAGTTTTTCCTCAACCTTGTGCACCATGCTACCTGGGACAGGCTCTAGCTGTACCGAGTAAGCACTTAAATGACTGAATTGGCATTTGGCATCAATTTAGAATTTAATAATTGTATCCCCATTGTGTCATTTCATGGAAAGATATTTAAAACTACATCTTATCTAGATTAATCAATTTCCAAGAAAGAACTGTTAATTTGAGCATCATATTCCTTTGGCACAATGTAAAAAGGAGGGCCACTTTTTTATAATTTATTTTACTTAAAAAAAGTCCTTAACACCCATTACCAGAAACTTACATTTAATTACAAAAATAAAAAATACAGTAGTTATATGACAATTATGGCATACAATAATAGATGACATTTGAAATTCATTTGGTCACATCATGCTAATTGCCTATTCCAGTTCATGTTTCCAATGCATGTAGACGACATTCCTGCCAGATCATGCTAGATTCGGCTTAACTGTCGTGTCGTAGTGTAAACGCACATTCCATTATTTTAACAAGCTTCAGGCATTAGTTGGTCAAAAGTTTTTTCCCCATTCACCTCATGTCTCAGTTTACTGCAGTGTGAGCTGATAAATTACAAAGCGTTAAAGACTCAATAACCAATCTGAATGGAAACAATAGAACAGGCTTTTTTAAAAAAAAGCAACTCGGCATTTACATTAAGTGAAAGTAACTGTATGTGTGTATATATATATATATATATATATATATATATATATATATATATATATATATATATATATATATGTATGTATGTATGTATGTATGTATGTATGTATGTATGTATGTATGTAAACTTCTGTTCTTCTGAAGCAGGTACGCACTTTTATAGAACTACGTTTAGCTAAAGTGAAGTAGCTAGCTGAGGTACTGGATTTGACGCAGGGCTAAATAAAGCTGGAAAACTTGCATACAAGTTAGCCTTCCAGAAGCGGGAACAGGGACCCATGTTTTAGATGAAGGCACTGGTAGTTCAGCATTCAAGAGCTTCCAGAAGGCATTCACATATCACGTATCACATATCACGTATTTTTCTCAATCCCATCGCGTAGAGTGGAGACATTCATTTAAAAACTACAACTGCAGAAAAAAATTCAATCACATAAGTATTTACCCACTCGGTGACAGACCACGATACAGAAAAGATCTAAAGATTAGCTAGCTACATATCGTGCCTCATTTCGGTTTCTCGCAGCTAGAGATTTGGTTATTCACGTCAGTCCGTTTGACTTAAAGAGTCACATGACTTGGATAGCAGTTGTCAGAGAAACAACTGTGCACTCCGCTCTGAAATAAGAAAAATTGTACAATTAGATTGGATGAAAACATTTTAAACAATTATACAAAGCAAATCGCCACAGATTTAAGAGATGGCTTGGGAAAGGGTTTCCGGGAAAAGTGATGGCAGCCCGGCCAGAGGCCTTATGAAACCAGAACACACACCATTCTCTCTCCTAGCAAACCCTATTTCCACAGGGAACACAAATTCCATTCCTCTGACAAGTTGAGAAAGCTACCAATGGCCATGATTTCTAAAGAACTCCCGGAGTACATAGGATCAGGTGCCGATCATGTACTGGTGCCGAGATTCACCCGCACGGTGGTTAGTTTGAAGACCACCTCAACTGGTTATATATTCACCACTACTCAACCACAAAAGACATACAATAAACAGGCAGAGAGACAGCAGGATTGGAGGTGGTGGAAATGAAGGACATTTAACTCACCATGTGTGGAAACAGAAGTCACTGAGTTTGCAGGGATACACATAACAATGTCAATGATAAACAGGGATGAGTAGCTAATATGTACTTTAATACACGCAAATGCCCACACACTACTGTTCTATTCTGTGAATAAGACTTTCCTGGCCATTGTTCCTTCCTCATCCTTTGCACAAAATCTTCCGGTGTCAAATAAGTAATTTTCAGTTGCATAAGAAATAAGACAATAACTGGACAGAACAGACCTCTGACAAACATAAAAAATAAAAACATATTTTCTTATTGACAACAGATCATATGTATACATATTGCAAAGTCCAGACACTATAATTTTCAAATTGTCTGATTTTGCAGTATTTTAGTATGCAAATAATTACAGCCAAATTTATCTGATATATACGTTTAAATTTCATATTGTGTCATGACTTTTTAAAATGTCAAATGGAAGTTTTAAAAAAAATGACAATGTATTTTACAAAAGGGTTTAATAAGAGCATGCAACCAGATACATTTGTACTATGATATAAAACACAAATGCTTTTGAAAATTATTTCCTTGATTATATGTATCACCTGATATTAAAGTAGAATAAACCAAATGGCAACAAAATCAAAGACAAAAAAAACCACGATGCCAGCAAAAGAAACAATGTTTCAATATAAAATAGCTTTGTCTGACATCTTTCCTATTTTTTCTTGAGCTATAAAGCGGAACACTACTAACGAATTTGACAAAAGCTGTTTTTCGTAAATATTAACAAAACAAATGGCTATTGATTACAGTACAAAAAAGTCCATTAGCCAGTTACAAGAATATGCCTACCCTTCTGTCAGTTTCCAGGCCACACAAGATGAATTATAGCAACTTTTTAACTACCAAGTGAACTTTGTGACTTCAGAAGACATTTTTAATGAATGTAATGGAGGTGGACTGGAGGAGGAGAAAGGGCGTGAGCTGAGGTGACGGTGGTGTGTGGGGCAGGCAGGGTCCCCGGGCCTGACTGCTGCAGATTACTACCTGTTGTTGTTGGACACGGCATAGTGCACCTGTCTCTGCTGGAGGAGCTCTGTGATTGCCAAAAGCTTTTTCAAAACATGCTACAAAACAAGAGAAAAAGGTTTGCAAATACGAAAGTGTTACTGCTGCTCTGCTGCACAAGGTGTGTCACAGTGAATTAACCCAAAAGTAAAAGTGAAGTAACTCAAAAGTTTTGCATTAATGAACTGTTAAAACTTTTCAAATTCAGCCACTGGTTTGTTAATCTCCTTGTTTTCCTTAGAATAACAGTATAACTTTGAAGACACTTTTCTTTTTTCTTTTGATAAAAACGCTGACACTGTAGCTTTCTACATAAGACGACAATTATGGCTTGGAAATGAACTGCTTCAAAGCTCAGGAAGTGCTGAACAAAGTGATGTTAAACCCATGTGGTACAGACAGAAATTGTGGTTTTAAGAATCCTGCATGCAGCCCACGGCACTGTGAACGTTGGCGAGCAGTTGAGTAATGAGCAGGTGAACGATCGAGACGCACACTCGAGTCATCCACACTCACCTGCTGAGGACCTCGTTCATTGCTTAGGGTTCGAAGCTCGTCGGAGTGGCTGACGCAGAGCTCATGTAGGGCGGCCAGGTCCCGGGGCAAGTCTGTTCTAAACTGCTCTGAGGTCTCAGGGAGGTCGGGAACGTTCTGAAAGATGCAACAGTAACAGCAACAACATTTTTCAATCATTTTTATCACCGTCATCAGTCTGCATCAGGCTCCATTGATTTATAAATTCCAGGCAGTGAAACCAGAATTGAAAGAGTGCAGGGAGAGAAATGCCCTTACCCCAAGCTTATCTAGAAATGTGATCATTTGTTGCTTGTTGTTTTTGATAAACGGATTCACCCCTTCCATATAGGGTTCCTACAACACAAAAATAATTACAGCAGATACATACAAGCCTACAAGAATATCAAACCTGCAAAAGTCATACGTGTATAAACCAAATATTTATGCACGGCTTATATCAATACCAATACATGCAATTTGTTCATAAGGTCCCAATAAATATGAATGTGTTTCGGTAAGATGGGAAAACAGACTGGCACGCCATTCAGGCACGACAGGATTTGTACATTTTTCACATAAGTTTCTTGGGGGAAAAAGGCAGCCGGTGAGACATAAATTTATCATTTGCAAGAAACTGACATTTACATTTTATTCATTCAGCAGACACTCTTATACCAATGTGATGTATATTTCTGACAGTCTCTGGAGCAATTGGGAATTATGGGCCTTGCTCAAGGGCCCAGTGGTAAAATTACTCTGCCAAGTCTAGGATTTGAACGAGTGACTTCCGGTTTAAGCCTCAGCACGTCTGTGGGTCCTTGAGCAAGGCCCTTAACCCCCAGCTCCCTGGGTGCCCCAACAGGTGGCTGCCCTTCACAGACAGCCTACTCTACAAAGAGCAAGTTGAGGGAGGCGTAAAAAGAATTTCCCCATGGGGACAATAAAGGATCTATTATTATTATCATAACCTGGGAAGCCACTTGAAAACCCCATGCAGGGTGTAGCCCAGCCTGGTGGCCCATGTTGTCTCCGATTGGCGCCAGGCCTCACTGTGATAGGTGGACGTCTTTGATCCCTTACCTTGGCTCCAAACTCAACCAGGTTTGCCAGGTTCTGCACAGACTTGGCGACCAGTGTGAGGGTTCGGGCGGCAGTGACAGAGGGCGGGTCTGGACACAGACACAAGTGCAACATGATGCTGTCTGTAGCTTAATCCCGTCCACGTCATACCGAAACGACTGGTTTAATCATGAAGCGTATGGGGGTGAATTAATAAAGGTGGTGGTGGTGGTGGTGGGGGGAGGGGGGAGAAGATGCCTTCCAAAGGACACCCACATGCATGATATTTGGCATCATGTAGAACAATCTTACCAGTAATTATATTGAACATCCTTGGGTTGAGGATTGCAGGGCAAATCAGTCTTAGGAAAACAAAACCACTGGAAAAGAACGCAATTTTACAAGTTTAAATCGACTGTTCTACACAAGAATATAGCTTTTATACTGATAATGCTTAATGGCACCTATAGAAGCACTGGACTAATTTACAGCAGTAGCTGCGAGAACAAAACGTTTCTAGGTAAGTACATTAATTACCTCACAACTCTGGTTCTCATGGTTGTGTTGTCAGGCCATTTTTGCTGGACAGATTTCTGCAAGCATCCATAGATGAATCTCAATTTCCTACAAAGTCAAAAAAAAAAGCAACAGGGGAAAAAAAAAAATATATAAATGCATTATTTACGTCTAAGCAGAAATCGCCATTTCCAGATGTAACAGAGAGCAGGCCAAGGTTGCTCCGCAAAACAAAATCGACACCGACCGTGGCAGAATGTCAGCAGCCGAGAAGATCCTCTCCACCAGCTCTGACAGGATGCTCAAAAGGTGCGCCTGGTTCAAGTTCACGTCTTCGTTCTTTTCCAGTTTGGATGGGTTCAGCTGGAGCAGGGAGAGCAGTCGTTAATCTTTTCACAGTTCAAGGAGAAGACCCTACTGGGGTTCCCTGTGCAACGCCAAGGCAGGAAAGCAAGAGCGCTAATCCTAGAGATGTCCTGGAGGTTGCGACAGGAAGGACTTGGGTGACTTGGAAGGGGTTCAAATGATTCCAAACCCGTGTCATTTTCCAACACCACCCCCCTCCCCCCAGGCTCAATGATGCCAAGCCTCAAGCTGACTGTGTAACCTTGCGTTCGAACAGGGACACAACCCCGATTTAAGCTAAAGTACGAAAACTGATGACGGAAACAGAAGCTGAGAATTTCCCCCCCAGGTGATGTTATAAGTCTTGTTCTGAGGTCTGTTGTGAAGAAGCCCAGGGCCCCTGCTCAAACTATACTAGGGGGATTAAACTGATGGAATCCGGCTGTAAAATGATCAGAGGGACAGACCTACCGGAACCAGGGTAACGAACCATTAAATGGTCAGCCTCTCAGGTATTCTCACTCAGTATTGATGTTAATGTAATATATTCAGGATGAATTCCCATTGCGGTCACTAGCTGAGTTAACTTCCACCCCAATCACTGTCCAAAGCACATTAATCAGAAATGCTCAGTTACAGCTGGGCTGAATGTTCCAGTGTTTCTGAACCGTGGCATTACCTCACAGGACTGCTTGCACTCCATGACCTTCAGAATGGTGTCCTTAAGAACATGCAGGACGAAGGGTGTGGCGGTGGCCTTCATGTACTGCTCCATGAGCGTGCTCGCCAGGGTGGTGGCTCGGAACAGCGTAGCGGCCTCATCTGGGGACAGCCAATCAGAGACAACTCGCGGTTTAATCCAGACAATACCCTTCTCTACATAGTTTTGGACTTCAAAGGGGTTGCCAGTTATGCTGGTCTTACTTCAGCTCTTAATCGTTAGTCACTATGGTAACGGCTTTGGTAAAGAAAATTTGAAATCGATCAGATATGATAATTCTTGGTGAATTATTTGCTTTCAGAAAAGTATTCCTAACACCTGCTCAAACTGCAACACTTGATAGATCTGAGTGATGTACTAAGAAGTCAGTTTTACACTCCCAGAGTTAACCCGACCGAGCCAGGTTAATTAACCCTGACTGTGGATGACAGTGGTTATGATCTCAGTAAGTTGACGCAGGACTTGCCTGTACATGATGGCATAAAAGCATTGCAAACTAAAAGCTGCCCTTTGATGGGTAGGAAGCAAGCAATACCCAAGCAATACCCAAGCCATACCCAAGCCATACCCAAGCAATACCCAAGCTATACCCAAGCTATACCCAAGCTATACCCAAGCANCAAGCCATACCCAAGCAATACCCAAGCAATACCCAAGCAATACCCAAGCTATACCCAAGCTATACCCAAGCTATACCCAAGCAATACCCAAGCTATACCCAAGCAATACCCAAGCAATACCCAAGCCATACCCAAGCCATACCCAAGCAATACCCAAGCAATACCCAAGCAATACCCAAGCCATACCCAAGCTATACCCAAGCAATACCCAAGCCATACCCAAGCAATAACCAAGCTATGCCCAAGCCATACCCAAGCAATAACCAAGCTATGCCCAAGCCATACCCAAGCAATAACCAAGCTATGCCCAAGCCATACCCAAGCTATACCCAAGCCATACCCAAGCCATACCCAAGCAATAACCAAGCTATACCCAAGCCATACCCACACCACCCTGCCCCACCAAACATCGGTATTGGGATTTAACACATTTCATTTGCATTGGACTGAAAAGAAAATCAGTAGTACTGTGTGTCTGAAAACAGAATTTCCCCATGGGGATCATTATTATTATCATTATTGTTATTATTATTATTATTGCCCATTCCGACAATTTAGTCAAAGGGTGGCTCATATTGCCTACATTTTTGAGAAAAGGGCAGGACCATTTTAAACCAAACACCTGCTCTTAAACCTGCGCGGAGCATAAATTACCATGGCAATATACCCTGTTTAAAAGTGAGCTACTATTCGCAGCACCCAAAACTAGGAAGCAATCCTGAAGCTTCCCAGTGCAGACCTCAGCACCCCCGGAATTATAATACCACTGGCTACAGCTTCCTTATCAACCCCCAAAATCCTATCATATTATACATAATGATATTTTCCAGTCCCATAGTCTTTATAATCAAACCATTCAAACTATGAAGCTGAGGGAAGAATAAAGAGGAAGACGCCAAACACGTCAAAGGAAGAAGGAAGCGAAAGGCTACCTTCCATGGTGATCTCCCTGTCGTTTAAGGTCCTCAGGAGAACAGCTTCCAGGTTCTGGTGGCGGAATATCCTGAGGAGGATGCTGGCCAGGAGGCCGCGGTCCTGCCCGCAGACTTGGGCCAGGCCATAGACCACAAGGAAGTCCTTCAGGAGGACCTGCTGCAAGAGAACAGCACACATCCCTCAGTCCATGCCGCACAATCTGTCACAAATCCATGCGCATTTAGTAGTAGTAGTAGTATTTGTACTAATTTTGTACTATATTTTGTGCTATTTCTGGGCATATAAGAGTCATGTTTAATGTAAATGCTCAGAGTCGACACTGTACATTAGCATGTGCAGCTTGTACGTCTCCCTTCTATTGGCCTTTGCTTGTGGGCCCTACTGCCCAGGTGAATCGACGGCGAATGATTCGTTCAGAGAATTCCCCGACATGGGTACGCTAAATGCTAATTAGAACGGCAGAGGCACTGCAGATATGGCCAAAGCCTCGTCCCCCAAAGCCAGAGGCCGGCCCACCTCCTTAAATTTGTCATACTCCTCCTCGGGCATGATCTTCTCCATGGAGTAGCGGGCACGGACGCGTAAGGAGCCCGGCTCGATGCCCTTCAGGGGCACGTGGGAGCTGAGGGGAAACCATTCGTCGCTGGTCTGTCCTCGCTGCAGACGACTCAGTTGGCAGCACATGAACACTGGGGAGTGGTGGTGGGGGGGGGAGGAGGGGGTGAACCAGGTTATACCGCCTCGAGTATCATCATCATCATCATCATCATCATTATTAGCATAATAACACACACACATACATACATATATCAACTATACATACAAACTGATACAATATCAAACAAAATGAACTACAGTGGTCTCCAGAATTATTGGTTTCCTTAGTAACGTAATGACTCTTTAAACACTCTGAAGTGGTCATACATGACTCCACGTCTTATTGAGATGTAAATATGAGGTGACATCCCAGCCAAACTCCCCAAGTCATCCAAAATTAGACTAAAGCTTCTGAGCTTGAAAAGTGAAGACAGTTCGAGCCAAAAAAAGAAAATCGCCACAGATGACAGCAGGAGAACTGCAGAAGGTACCTGCACCCTGGAGTCACCAAGTCTCCAGATCTAAAATTAGCCCCCAGCTCCATACCAGCGAGTTATCTGGAAGATGTGCCAGGAAGAGGGTCTCTACTGCCATCAAACCACAAACACGAAGACCTGGAGCTTGCTAAACATCTCCGAAATTTTTATAGGAATCTGGTTAGGGAAAACATTGTGTCTGGCTAAAAATAGAGAGTATGGTGATATAGGTGATATAGGGTGGGGTATGGACTGGTGATATAGGGTGGGGTATGGACTGGTGATATAGGGTGGGGTATGG